GAAAGTCGAAGATGTCTGAGGCATACGCACACATGCCGGTCCCGGCCAGCTCCTGCATTTTACTCTCTTCGTGCACAGTTGCGGTCAGCATCCCAACGCAGCGTCCATTCCGCATCACGACGGAGCCACACATGCCCATGCCAATACGGCCCTTGTCCGCCCCCTCAAGCGAGGTTGTGTCAAGGAAGAAGTGCTCCCGTGTCAAAGTGTGCACCTTTGCGCGGATTCCCGTTGGCACCATGAGCGGCTCTGGCGCCTTCTCCTCGTCAAAGAGTGATTCATGTGCCGTCATGCCATAGATCCATACGTGGTCACCCACTGCCAGTGGTTCAACCAACTCAAGACGCGGGCGTATGACGTAACCCTCATTCTGCATCCACAGCATCTTCATCTCCCCACTACGCTTCAAATTTTGCTCTGGATGCACCACACAGAGATCTAACCGGGGGTTGGCGTGCACGTAAACGTGCTGGTTTGACGTAAAGTGCCTATAGACGGCGGTCCCCTGCATAGAAACGAGGCGAACTTGCGTCATGGTGTCGGCCAGCGTAATGCGGGAGACAAAGCGGGTCGGTCCCTCCGTGGGATAATAATTGGGGTAGTCCCAGGGACATATCACATGGGCACATGTGAGCAGATGCGTCCAGTGCCCGCCGTATTGTGAGAAGGTCGGCCCACGTGTCTGTCCACACCAATCCAAGGGGATGCATGTTGCGTCCATCAGCCGACGCCAGCGATCCGTCTCCTTGTGGCGCCACTTGAAGCGTGTCTGTACCGCCATACACCAAGGCTGGAAGCGCACCATTGCCACGGCCTGCCGTTTGAGTAAAAAAGTTTCAAGAGGCAGAAAAGAAAACAAAGCGCATACATGACGATACAAATGCTCACATGTATATGAGCATGTGAATGCATGTACATGCGAACAAAGAAAGAGGGAGGAGCATGGCGACAAGAAAAAAGGAGGGTGGAAAGATAACACTACAGCTGCAGAGAATTAGGAATCATAAATACAACAAATTGAATGAAAGTCATACGGAATAAAAACAACAAAATGCACAGCGAATATTACCGTTTAATATCATTACCACCACAATTCCTTTTTTGTTGTTGTTGTTGTTGTTGTTTTTCTGTTTCCGCTACTACTTCCCCTTCCTTTCTTGCATCTTCTCCTCCATTTCATCCTATTCGCATTCCTCCCATGCACACGCAGTGGCAAAACTTTTATAGATGCATATATATGCCACTCACATCATGGGACTGAAGTCTGGCAACAAAAGAAACAAAAACTCGAGGCATCTCCATCACTCAGCGCGCATCAGGACGACAGCGCGAGGAAGAAGCACCGGCACATCGCCAAAAGTCCTGTCGCCGTCCAAATCCAGCGGGCGCGGTGGGTATCCGGCAACCAGCTGAAACCCGTCGCCATCATAATCCTCCAGCGACATCGCGTAGTCGCGCATGTGGCGGAGCTTCTCAGTGCGATAGAAACGGCGATGATATTGCTTTCCGCGAAGCGACTTTAGACTAATGAACGCGACGGTCGACGCGTCGGCATCGGCGGGGGGCTCCACCGGCAGCCGTGCGGTTGCGGCCGCACGCAATTCCTCCACCCGAGAGCGACGCCGCGCCTCCTCCTGCTGCTGCCTCCTCCGCATCTCTTCCTCCTCGCGCCGTTGCCGCTCCGCCGCCTCCCGCTCGCGCTGCAGCCGCTCTTCCCGCTCCCGCCGCTCCCGCACCTTTTCCTCGTACTGTCGGATGCGCTCGAGGTCGATTGCACGCATCTCGTGGGCCCGTTGCTCCTCCTCGCGGCGGGCCCGCTCCTTCTCCTCCCGTTCCAGTCGCTGGTGGACCTCCTCCGCCAACCGCCCGTCCCAGTGCTCGAAGGCCATTTGAAAATTCCGTACGAGGTCCTCGGCAGGGAGGAGACCTTTTACCTTCAGCACGGTGCTGCGCTTCAGCATGACAGCAAGGAAGGGGAACGTCGTCACCTGCATCTCACCTTCCAGTCGGCGGCCCTCTAGCTCCAAGACTGAAGCCCCAAACAACACAAAACGAGTCCCAAAGAGCTCCCGCACCTGCGGAGCTGACAGCACTTTTGTCAGAAATTCATGTGTGTCCTCATGCGTCGGGGAATGAATGTACACAAGGAGGTACAACCCCCTGCGCTGCGCCTCTCGCCTTGCCTCATCCATTGAGTCGTGGACCATTGGAAGCTCCACGCCGTATTCGCGAAAAATATTGTTCGAAAAACTTGTCCCTAACATGGCCTTATATAAACTGTTGACGAGAAGCAACAAAAGGACAGGGATCAAAGCAGCTTGGAAGAAAACAAGGCAGAAAGTATCCGAACAGACGGTGCAACACAAGGGCCGTGACTCACACACACACACACACACAGCAATGCAAATATGCCCCCCTCCCTCTCTCAATTCGAAAGAAAAAGAAGACAACGGGTCGCTCCAGCCACAACATAACATGACATAAGACGTCACGGTGTAGTAGTGCCGCCACCCTGCAGGACGCCGGTGTCGACGCTGCCCAAGATCTGCTGCGCAATGGCATCAGGTGGGGTGTCAATCACCGGCCCGTACGCGTCTAATTTCATCTGTGTCTTCTTGTCCTCGATGTGTATGTCGTCCCGCTGCGCCTCCTCCTTCATGTGACGGAGGTACATGTGGTAGTCAAACATGTGCGGACGCTTGTTAAACACCTCCACCCACGTCTCGTAGAGGTGCGGCAGGGTGTAGTACTTGAGGAGCATCTGGGTGATAAAGACGCAATCCTGACGAACAAATATCTTGTCCTTGATTTCGCACCGCACCAGCACAATACGCTTCGTGCGTGAAAACTCAGTAAAGAACTGAATTGTCATGTCAATCTGCGCGTGGTCCTGTTTTTTCTGCCACTCAGCAAGCGGAGCGACGCCAACGAGGTCCTTGTCCCAGTTCGTCACAACGTTGAAGAGCCCCTTCGTGCGGAACACAGGAATCACAAAGTAGGAGCAATTCTGCAGGCGGGGCCGCAGCGCATCATAGGCATCAGCTGATATCACGCGGCCCCAGTACTGCACAAACTGCTTGTGGTGTTCGTTCCATATCGTCGCCACTTGTGCCGTCGGTGTCGCCTCAAGAAGGCTCAACTTGCAGATCTCATCCAGCGACTTTCGCCCGGGCAGTTTGTAGAAGCCGTGCAGTGCGCAACTCTTGCGTAGCATCCCCTTCCCTCCCCTCCTTTGTACGGTTCCACAGCAACAGCAGCAGGAACAGCGGCACTGCTGACGTTTGTGGTAAATGAGTAAAAAATAAATGAAAAAAAAAAGTGTTGAGCTTGATCCATAAAACCATCGCAGAGAAAACAGCAAGATGCAGCGAGCCGACACACGCGCCTCGCGTAAGAAGAAAGAAAAAAAAGAAAAAAATATATAGCAATCATAATAACAAAATAAAAAAAAAAAAAGGAGGACCGGCACGACGGCCCGAGCATCTAAAAAAATAATGCGGTCTAAGTGCGAGCAGAGACCGTGTCTCAATGTGTCGCTCTAAGCTCCTGCTTCGCTTCCTCTACTCTTATTCTCCCTTCACCCTTCTTGTCGTCCCTCTCTTCGTTAATCACCGCCCTCAGCCTCTATCGAAAAACAGCACGCCGCGGCGCGTGAGTGGGCAATTCGCGTTGGTGCATGCGGCTGCTGGCGGTGGGGGTGCGATACAGTCGCTCGCAACTGCCGCGTGAGCTGCACCTCGACCCGGAGGTGCTGCTGCAGCGGCTGCTGCCCCTGTCCCCCCATAGTCGCTTCTTCGTCAGCGTCGCTCCATTTCTGTCGCCATTGCTCAACGAGCGGGAACGCGATGATGCCGCGGCGGATCTTCCCTGCCGACCACCGGTGCGTCCACGCGGGGCGGGCGAGTCACCCAAAAAACGCGAAGATGATCGCCGTGGCGCCGGCGACGGTGTGTCGAAGCGGGAGCGTCGCTTCACTTTCTCGCTGCGAAGATTTCCGTCGGGCCGTGGGGAGGAGCGCAGCGTCCGCTGCTTCAGCCGCATAAATGCCGCGTGCGCCTCGTCTCGTTCCGCCTCCGCTTGCCGCAGCCGCGCTCGAAGTCCCGCCAACTTCTTTTTGAGTCGCTCCACTTCACACGCCCCGTCGACACGCTGCTGGAAATCCTCGCAGAGACGCTGCATCTCCAACATCTTCTCCCTACTCAGCCGAGCCAAGGCCTCATTCTCACGTCTAAGTTTCTCGTTCTCCGTCTGGAGCTGCGCATTGCTGGGTTTACTGGCATTGTCCGTCCCCAATTCTATCAATCCACTGTGCCGCGGCGTTGTCCGTTGTTGCTGCTGTTCGGTGGGTGGTACCGAAGGCATGCGCCTCAAGTCCATGGTCCCATTCATTTCCGCCGTCGTCATCTGCACGAGAGGCACAGGGAATACGGCACGTGTGAAGTCCACATCGTAGTCTAGAGTGAAAAATCGCTGCATTCGAGACGTCTCCGAGAGCTGGCTGGCGTCACTTTCGTCAATGATGGAGTCGGACGTGCCGTGGCCGCGCTGCGCCACCTCCGCTGTGATGCGGCTTTTCATCTCCTCACACGTCTCAACAAAAAACTTAACGCTGGGGGAGCGTCCAATCATGGCGTTGTATGTCATGTCCGCGAAGCCGGCAAACTCCTTCCGCACCCCCGCCGCTGTTGTGATCTCCAGCACGTGGCTCTCACGCAGCACCGCAACGTAGTGAACGTCCGACGAGGGCTCGAAGGCAGACGCCTTCGGTATCACATCGATGCTCATCGACTCGGCATCGTTCTTGTACCGGACGAGGTAGCGACCGCACGGGGAGTGGACACAGCACTCCATTCCCCAGCCTTCCCGGAAAAGGGGACAAAAAGGCAATAAATAAATATATGTGCGCACGCCCTGCTCAAAACAAAAAAAAAAAAAAAAGAGAGAGAGAAAACATATATTATTTAACACGCATAAAAAGAAGGAAGGATCAAACGCAATCCACAGCAATAACGATACGCGCAAAAAAACTATCCCCCCCAACGGAACCAACAGCCTTATCATATCATAGCTCACATGCAGACTCGCGCACAACCACAAGAAAAAAAAAAAATGTTCCGTGAAGTCATCTAAAGCCTGCCCCTCGCCCGGTGCACGATACGCCGGCGTTTCTGCATGGCTCCGTTCCTTGCCGAATTCTGCAGAGCACCTCAGCCGTCCCAGCCTCGCGGCCAGTGCCTCTGCCAAGCCGCAATTGCGGCACTCGCCAAACTCACAACGGCCAAGCCGAGTGTATGCAAAGTGAATAGAAGCCCGGCAAGAGAAGCTCCAAAAGCGAAAATCACAACTCATCTGCTACATCGCGACGACGCAGTAAATTCGGCGGCCGTTGCTTCGCCGGTTCGAAATGCTCCGCACACACACGGTAGCGCAATCGGTAGAAGGCATCCACGTCTGCCGCCGTCATCCCCTGCCAAAGGCCGCCAAACTTTAACTCCAGATGGGCACTGAGGATCACGTTAAACGATCAATTGCGACTAACCGTCACGCCAAGACGGCACGACCTGGAACAGTAAAAATGTTGCGGGAGATGAGAATGCTCCGATGGGACACATGTCGCCTGCGTCAAAAAAAGGCGTGTGGTGCGTTGCAATATCCTTCGTGCTGGCCCTCGCAGCGCTCACGCTGCATCAGACTCTGCAAAGGCATTAAGCGCAATCGTCCTCGTTACACCGTTAGCAACTCATATAGACGCTCAAATCTGAGGCAACAGGGAGCAGAGGAGTACGGACGTGTAAAAGGAGGAATTTTCATTGAGTGAGATTCAGTTGTGCGGCAAACTCCCGCCAGACCGCCTCTTTGCCGCCATTAACGTTTTTTTGAACTCACGTTGTTGCATGCGCAGAAACTGCTCTGCCGCTGAGCTCAAAACCAAACAATTCTCACGAGATGGCGGACCCTTCTGCGTCAGAAGAAAACGCATCCACACAAAGAACAGCAAACGCCATGCCCGGCGCGATTCCACCAGCAGCTGACGAGCCCGTCTCATCTCTGGCGTGGTCGCTGGGCACGCCTGATGTACAAGTGCCATCGTCTGACCCCGGCGCTCCGCTCCTTCCTCGTCCATTTGCATAATGGCACAAAACAACCCTGCGCAGGGTCCCAGCGGGGAGAAAAGCCGTGCGCATCCGTCAAACTTGGCAAAGGGACTTGACACAAAATCCATGAGAGTGAAGTGGCAGGTAAGTACCCAGCACTTATCCTCCACTTCGTGAAAAGCGTTACCACCGCGCCTCCACTCAGCATGTCGCGCATCCCAGTCACTGACGATTTTTGCCTGCCACGCGCCAAGCTGTTCGAGAAGCTCTGCCTCTCGCCTCTCCCGCCACATCTCGCGACGACCGCACGCATGAAGCTCCTCCAACGTGCACATGCCACTGCCGAGGGTGATGCCATCCATAGCCCGCATCACGCATACGCGAGAGAGAGCCGCCGCGAATTCCTCGGCGCGATCGTCCAGCATTTCTCTCCAAAGACGCTCCCCTCACCATGCACCACCACTCCCTATTTGCACACAGAAAAGGGAAAAAAACGGGAAAAAAGAAAAACGGGCACGAATTTACATGCACTACCGTCACACAAATAATCCCACTGGAAGCCTCAAAGACGGCGCAAAATGCTGTGGAAAAGAAAAAACAAAATAAAACAAAAATAAAACAAAAAATAAAAAAATAATAATTTTTACAGAAGAACAGCGGGAGACCTCACTTCTTTTTGGTCTGGTGGCGAAGGGCCTCCTCCATCTTGGCACGTCTCTTCTTGGCGGCCTTGAAGTTGCCAAGGCGCTTCTTGCAGAACTTGAGTGCACGCTTGTCCTTGCCAACGCGCAGCAGCTCCTGCACGCGCCTTTCCATGGGGGAAAGTCCGACAAGATCCGTGATGATCGCCTTCACCGCCCGCAGTTTCTTGTGCGGAAGGGCGTAACGATCATTGGAGGAAGGGGCGCGAGCGCGGCGGGTGGTCTTGTGACCCTTGTTGAATCCAGCGATGATGCCCGTTCGCGGCGCGGGGGCCTCTGCCTTTGGAACCTCTTTCTTTCTGGCGGGCATGCTCTTCCCTTGCTGGTTTAAAAAATAGAGGAAAGCGAGTATTGGCACTCCAAGGACAAACGGGCACACACCCAGACACCAGGGAAAAAAATGCAAGAAAGACTCTCACACACACGCAACGAAGAGCGTGGGCAAGCCAAAAACACGGCAATACGGAAGGTACTTGCATGGAAAACAATAAAAAACAAAAAAAAACAGACAAGGGGAAGGCCAACGCGAAACCTGAGTCAGGGATCTTAACGCTTGCGCAGGAAGACCATGCGGTTGTTGCGGCGCCACGCGGCGCGGACTGACGGACGCAGCTTTGACGCCTTGTGGCCCTTGTGGCGCAGTCCGCGGTGCTTGCGACCCGCCGAAGTGAGGCCACGCTGTTCACGGTGCTTGTGCACTGCGTTCACAATCCAGTTGATGCGTGGGTCGCGACGAATAGTGCGGCACATTGGGTCCACTGCAACCACCTCATACCACACGAAGGTCGAGTCGGCATTCACCCAGTACGAGTTCAGCACACGAAGGTTGCCGTACTTTTTACCAAGCCGCTGCTCTGCAATGGCGCGACTGTTCTTGTTGAGCTTAACACCCAACACACCACTCGTCTTGGGCTTACCGTACGTGATACCCTTGTGCACAGGACGCTTGCGCCCACCGCGGCGAACACGCACGCGAAACACGGAGAACCCTTGCTTTGTCTTGTATCCAAGCATGCGGGCCTTCTCCGGACGCGTAGGACGACGCAGACGCACAACTGTGTGCTGGTGACGGAACTCCCACGCGCGCACACGCTGAATGAAGCGCATCACATCGGAAGACTTCTTCTTCCACAATTCGTTCAGGTACATAAACGCTCCCATTTCGCTGACCTTTCTATGACAAACGCAACATACAACAACAAAACCCATTCAGAAAATAATAATAATAATAAACGC